TGTGTGTGCAGGCACAAAATCCTGAGGGGAGAATGGAGGAAAAGGTATTGCAGTGACCATCCTTTCCCCCTTCGGGGATGGGGGGAGTATTTCTCATTTTCTCTCTCTTTGTAATGCATCCTGTAGCAAAAATCTTAAAACATGGGAGACCAGCAGGTGGTGTGGTAGTTATGGTGCTGGATTCTCACATTACTGGCTGACTGTGGTTCAAGTCCCACATCTTGTGGCTTAAAAGTCATGCTGGGTGCATGTGTGTGTGCCCAAAATCACAGGAGGAGAATGGAGGAGAAGGAATTGTGGCTGGGCATCCCTCCTAGGAGGGGATAATGTCTTAGTTGCCCTCTCGCTGTCCCTGTCTCTTCCTGGTGAGTACACATGCCTTATGGCAAAAATCTAAAAAAGCACTAAAAACAAAAAAAACCTGAACCATGAAGCATGGAGTATTTATTGTGACTGTTGTATGAATCAGTTTTTTTGAATAAGGAAATGAATGTTGTGACTAAAGGTTAGATTGACATTTTGATACCCATGGCATGTGCCCAACCTTCAAGATCATTGCCCTTTTCCACAATCTTTGGTTTCTGTGAAATGGTGTTAGATACAAGACTGTCCCATAGTTCCTGTGCTTTGCTTCTTGGCCAGGGGCTTGAATGAAGCCCACACATGCAGAATTTGGGTGTCTGGTTCAGCGTTCAGTGTTGGGCAGAGAGCCTTCAGAAGGTCATCGGCATGTGTGTGTATGAGGGAGAGAGAGGTATTGAGATGATTATTATTATTATTATTTTTTTGGAGAGATTTTCACTGTAGGGCATGTGCGCTCGCCAGACAGACAGAGAGAGACATAGAGACAGAAAGCGAGAAATCACCCCCCAGGGGGGATGGTCACGCCACAATCCCTTCTCCTCCCGGGATCTTGGGCACGCACGCACACGCGCCCGGCGTGAGTTTTAAGCCACCGGGTCCGGGACACGAACCGCGGTCGACTATGTGGGAATCCAGCGACATAGCCATTACGCTAACTGCTGGTTCCCTAGATGATTATTTTTAAAACAATTTATTTTTAAGAATTATTTAACTTTATTTCTCTTAGTTCAGGGCTGAAGGTTTAAGACTAACCAACCACCTTTGGGGCCTGGAGGTGGCATGGTGGTAAAGGGCCCTGGATTCCCACATGGCTGACTGTAGTTGAAGTCCTGGACCTGGCGGCTTGCTTTCTCACTTTCTCTCTCTCTCTCTTTCTGTCCCTCTCTGGTCAAATGAAAGAAAGAAAGAGAAAAAGAAAGTCTTTATTTTTTTTTTTTAAAAGAATTATTTTATCTTTCTTTCTTTTTTTTTTTTTTTTTTTAAGAAATTCTTTTTTATTTAACTTTATTTCACCAGAGAGGGACAGAACTAGGGAGAGGGAAAGTAAGGAAGCAAGTTACTGGTCCAGGATTCGAACTGCCATTGGCTGTGTGGGAGTCTAGTGCTTTTAACCACCACCTACACTACCTGCTGGCCCCAAGAGTAGCTACTTTCTTTTTTTAAAATAATTATTTTATTTAACTTTTATTTCTTTATGTCTTTATTTTAATTTGACCAGAGAGGGACACACACACACACACACACACACACACACACACACACGCGCGCGCATAGAGAGAGAGAGAGAAAGTCTCTATGCTCACACACACACACACACACACACACACGCGCATAGAAAGAGAGAGAGAAAGCCTCTAGGTTCAGGATTGGGCCATGTGGGAGTCCAGTGCCCTTAACCACCACGCCACCTGCAGGCTCCAAGACTACTTTCTTTCTTTTAAAGAATTATGTAACTTTTATTTCTTTGTTCCTTTACTTTTATTTGACCAGAGAGAGGAGCAGAGCACTAGAGTGAGAGAAAATGAGAAAGCAAGCCACCAGATTCAGGACGTGAATTGCAGTTGGCCTTGTGGGAGTCCAGCGTCCTTAACCACCATGCCATCTGCCAACCCCGAGACTAGCTAGCTACCTTCTAGTCTGTAATTGAGTGCTTACAAGAGTCCTAATTGGTTTTGGTGTTGAGACAGGTCAGAATTTTTTTAGCTGAAATGATTATCAGTTGTATAGTTTTTAAAAGAGGTTCACAACTTGTTTATATAACTGTCTTCTTTCTACATCAGGCCTCTAGTCAACAAGGACTGATATTCAATTTAAATTCTGATATTCAAATCCAAAAGCATCAACTGCTTGCAGATCTGTTGGGACCCCTTGTCTTCATTCAAAACAAGTCAAAACTTGCCAAGTTTGCTCCTTAGGATTGTTTTTTATTTTCGTTTTCAGAGATTTTTACTATGGGCATGTGTGCTTGCCTGAGAGTCAAAGCGAGAAATCACCTTCCAGGGAGCTGGCCATACCACAGTCCCTTTTCCTCGATTCTCCTCTTGGGATTTTGGACATGCACATACATGTGCCCAGTGTGTGTTTCAAGCCACTGGATCTGGGAATTGTACTGTGGTCCGCCACGTGGGAGTCATGCAGTGCCTTAAACGCCAGGCCACCTGCTAGCCTAACCCCCTTGCCTTTTTTTTTTTTTTTTTAGGGTTTTTTGTTATAGGGGCGTGTGTGTAGCCACAGAGAAAGAAAGAAAAAACCCCCCCCCCGGGGGGGGATGGCCATGCTGCAATCCATTCTCCTCCCGGGATCTTGGGCACGCACGCCCACGCGCCCAGCATGAGTTTAAGCCACCGGGTTCAGGACTCGAACCTTGGTCGACTATGTGGGAGTCCAGCGACATAGCCATTACGCTAACTGCTGGTCCCACCCCCTCGCCTTTTTTATACCACCTCACATGGCCCTTTCTCTTTATATCAAGTTTAGCTTTTTGTTGTTATTGTCTAGTTTTCCATGCTTATGTTTACATGCCTGTTTCATTTTTTCTCTGTACTTTTCAAGCCTGCTTTGGACTAGTTTCTTTTCAAGATTCAACTCTTACCTCTGCCCCCAGTTGTGGGCCTACCTCCTTTGGCTCTTTTCCAAGTTACTTTTTTTCTTTATCCTCTCTGGATCCATGGGATAGACTCCTAAGACTTCATTTCCTAAAATACTCCTTTAGCTCTTTCAGACTCACTTAAGATCTAAATAACAGTTTTATAAGGTCATTTTTAATTTATCCCTTTAAGGTTGGCCTCTTGGATGTTGTTTACCTTTAAAATGGAGTTCATACTTGTTTTGTTTATGATGAAACAATAGAAGAGATTGATTCACATCATGGTTTGGCCATTATTCTACTAGTGAGACACTGGAGGAATCATTTTACTCTCGCCCAGCTAGGGTAGCACAGGTGATAGAGCACCGATATGCATTGTTGCTGTCACATGGGAGGCACAGGATTTGGATAGCTGACTGACCTCGACTTCTGAGTACTTGGGGAGGCCATTGCTGTGTGGTGAGGCCCTGTTGGGGCTATCTTTCTATAAGAAGGATGTAAATAAATAAAAATTTCATTCCTGAGTTGCTTTTCTTATCTTTAAAATAATAATCATTCTCAAAGTTGTAATGTGGCTTAAATGAGATGTAAGTGCACTCTAGGTATATCACAAGTTCTTAGATGTTGAATTCTAGTCTTGGTCTTTTAGAAGTATTTTTAAGGAGAGAAGACCTCTCACAGACAATGTTTCCATTTTTATTTTCATAGTCCTTACCTATGACTACTGGTCATTTGCTAAGGAGTTGACTCCATAAAGCTCTGCTAGTGCAGCTACCCTCTTGCCAGTTTATTTATTTATTTATTTTGGTGCTAGAGGGCATGGACACTTAACAGAGGGAGGAAGAGGAGAAAGCATCCCCATCAGGGGGATGTAGGACCTTCTCCACATCTCCCTGCCTTTAGGCTTTGGGGCACTTTCATTCACGTACTTGATGTGTTTCTCAGGCTGTTGTGCCTGGGCTCAAATGCTGCATCAGCTGTGTGGGATCCAGCTGCCTTAACCATCGGGCCACAGAGCCCGTCATCTTTTTTTAAATATTGCATACTTACTCAGCTCAGAATTCTGGTCCATCTTGATTATTGTTTTTCTTTCTGGGGCATAGTTCTTTGTTTAGTGTTTGACTATTGTTTTTCCTGTCGAGTCTACTCTAGATGTAGCAGACAGGAAGTATTATAAGCAAAGCCAGGAAAAATAATTGAGGAGGGTGTCTGGGTGTTACAAAAAAAATGTTGCTTTTACAGAAAGTCCAGGGATACAGGAATGATCTTGTTTAATATCATTAAAGACACTGGTAGTTTTCTACTGGCAGAGTAACTTAACCAAAAGTAAATAGCAGTGTTTCAGTTTTCAAATACTCTTTTCAACTGGGTAAAACCACTAAAGAGCAGAGTTCATTTTACTACTTAGGTTTGGTATATACAGGGAGCCTGGGAGATTTTAAAGCAAGATCTATGGGAATGTTTATGAGTTATAGAAAACTTGGGAACTGGAGGCAAAATGAAAGTATACTTGAGGAAATAAATGATGGTTTTTGTTTCCACCCCACTTGCTTGGTTTGGGGATTGAGTACATTAATTTTCCTTTATTTGTTTAATATATTTGATGCTGCCTTCAGTGTGTTCCTAATTCTTGGTGCTGACCCTGTCAGGAGTGCACCTCCAAAATGACATGGTAAATGCAGGTGAGGTGGCTTGAATTGTGCAATATTGAGACATCTGTTGAGTGATATGATGTTCCTACTTAGAATTCTTGAGAATTCATTCTGAGAGAACATAGCTTGATGGTTAAAGGTCATAAACCATGGAACAGAATTCTAGCTCTTTCATATATTCTGTGACATTAATACCATTACTTAATACTTGGTTCACCTGTTTTCTTATTTGCAAGAAGGGGTAGTGGTAAGAGATTACTAATGGGCCTAAAGACCTTATACTTTATGATATTCATACTCATTTTGATTAACTTACAGAATTATTTTCTTTGGAAGAGAATACAGTTTGGCTATAATGATCATTATGTATCTTTTTTTTTTTTTCTCTTTTCCAACAGAAAGCGTGGATACCCATCAGCGAAGTTTTGATATTGGAATTCAGATTGGCTATCAGCGGCGCAATAAGGATGTGTTGGCTTGGGTTAAAAAACGCAGAAGAACTATTCGTAGAGAAGATTTGATCAGCTTCCTGTGTGGAAAAGTTCCTCCACCACGAAACTCTAGAGCTCCCCCAAGACTGACTGTAGTGTCCCCTAACCGAGCTACTTCAACGGAAACTAGCTCATCTGTAGAGACTGATTTGCAACCCTTCCGGGAAGCCATAGCTCTGCATGGTAAAGCCGTTTAAACATATTTCTTTGGAAAAATGGTTAAGAGTGTGCCTGTGGACCCATTTTCATGTTTAGGTCTAGGGTCCTGTTCTCCCCCCCCCTTTTTTTTAATCTGTAGTAAACACAGTAGAAATGTTTAAATAGAATGTAAACTAAGAACTTACATGGGCAGTGTTTGACTGTCAGCTAGCCCATCTTGGAAACTGTTTTTAGAGTTAGCTAGAGCTTATTGGTGTTACAATAGTAGTTCTACAACACTGATTAGAATTCACTGCTTAACACTTAAATGTTGTACTTTTTTTTTTAACTCTGTGAAGTCAAAGGGGGGGAAGTCCTTGGGTCTTAGAGAATTCTTTTACATTTACAACTGCTTGGGGAACCTCGTCCCTAACAGGCAAGTAAGGCAGGTAATTGCTAAATTAGATCTTGTGGGAACTCCCCTGAACACCCTTGCTTCCTATCTAGTGTGCTGTAGACTTGGGTGAGAGTTGATGTCTCAAGGTTGAGAGGACAGACGGAATTGACTTCTTTTCTGCCTGTTGTCCTTCAGGGCCTCCTTTGCCTTGATAGTTAAGACCATCAGGTGTAGCCAGTGGACAGGTCTGTTACCATCTCTCCAGGCCATACCTGTAATAAAAAGGCATTGTTGACTGGAAGTTTTAGTGTTTCTGAAGAAGCTTAGGGAGTGTAGTCAGTGATAAGTCTCTGTTGCCTTTTATTGGGTCGTAGTATGAAATTATTTAATAATATTGGGTCATCAGGAAAGTCAAGACATATTTTTGCATAGAAAAACATGTAAAAATACATGATGACTTAATAGTCACTTCCAAATAGAATTGGGAGAGTTACCTTTTTTATGACAACATTTAATATTGCTGGAAAAAAAAACTTAACACTTGATTGAAACCAAGATGAAAACTTGGGTCATGCGGATGACTAAGCAGATAGAATAGTAAGTCAGATTATGAGTCCTGTTAAACATTGACATTTCTGGACTATAACATAGGTCATCTAACAGAAACATTTATTACAAGGGTCTGTGTTGTGTGGATGTAGTACTTAAGAATGCTATTTATATAATATAGTGGGATAGTTTATGCTATTAGAACATTTTAAACTCAGGCAAAAATGAGGTTGATCTGTTCTTATGGGATTAGAGAGTTTCACATCTTTTCCCCTTTAGATTGGAAAACTGATTACTAGAGGTGTACATAGTTTGTAAAATTAATTTTTAGTGCATGGTAGCTTTTGATGTACTTGCATTATGATTTTATCAAGTGGATTTGTGATTCATTCCATATTTCTCTTGAAGTTACCTTTTTTGTTATATACTTACATACTTTAAAAAGATAGCTTTTAAAAAAATAAAAGCCATGCTTGTTATAAAATCTTAATGCAGTAGTGTACATAGTACAAATGGGAAGTCAGCCCCCTCCTAAAGTTATTCTTTTTTTTTTTGGAGAGGTTTTTCACTATAGGGCACGTACGCTTGCCAGACAGACAGACAGAGACATAGAGACAGAAAGCGAGAAATCACCCCCCAGAGGGGATATGGTCACGCCACAATCCCTTCTCCTCCGTTCTCCTCTCGGGATCTTGGGCATGCACGCACACGTGCCCGGCGTGAGTTTTAAGCCACCGGGTCCGGGACACGAACCGTGGTTGACTATATGGGAGTCCAGCGACATAGCCATTACGCTAACTGCTGGTTCCCCTAAAATTATTCTTATCCTCCAGCTCTCTGTACTTTTTTTTCAAGATGAATCTGTCAACCCATGATTTATTATTTTTCTGAACTTTGGGTGTTTAGCGATATAGTGGTAGGAAAGGACTGTTTATAATTTTGACTATGTCAGTTATGATTTTTTTTTAAATTTGCTGGAGGGTGCATTCTGGAGAGACAGGGAGATGGAGTAAGGAACACCATGAGAGAGTGCTCACACTCCAGTTTCTTTTCCTCCATTTTTCTAAATCCTTTTTGGGATTTGGGGTATGCACACATAGATGCCTGGCATACTTTTTTAAGCCACTGAGTCCAGGACGTGAACTGCAGAGTTGGACAGAGCTGGCTTAACTACTAAGCCACAGGCTGGCTCCATATTACGAGGTTTTAGGTTTTTGCCATAGGACATGTGTGGTCACCAGGTAACATGACAGGGGAATGTTGTGAAATCACACTCCCAGAGGGGATGGCCACACCCACAGTCCTTTCTCCTCCATTCTTCTTTTGGGATTTCAGGCATGCACACACACAACACACATGCCTGGCATGATTGCCACGCCACTGGGTCCAGTATTCAAACCACAGTCATCTCTGTGGGATCCTTAACCTTTCTGCTACCTGCTGACCCAGTTATTGTTGAAAAAGTCATGATGCAGTTTTGCATAGGAAAAAATCAGGACTTTTCTGACAACCCATTAAAAAAGCTGAAACACAAAACAGTGTGGGGGAAAAAACCTTTGCTTTCAAAGAATTTATAATGAGACACTAATTTAGTCCACATGTATATTGGAGATTCCATGTGCTCTAATTCTTAGGGTTTGGACCTCTAATTCATGTAGTTTAAAAAAAAAAAAAAAACAGTGTTATGAAATAATAAAGCCCCTGAGAAGAATCTACAGAAAAATTATACTGAATTTTGTGCATTTGTGGTTTACTACAATATCAGTCTGTTGAGAATTCTAGCTTGATTTGAATAATTTTTTTTAAGAGAGATTTTTGCTATAGGGCACATGTGCTCATTGGAGAGACAGAGACAGAAAGCGAGAAATCACCCCCATGCCCCTGGGGGGAGATGGCCATGCCTCAGTCCCTTCTCTTCTGTTCTCTTGAGATTTGGGGCATGCATGCACACATGCCCAACGTGAGTTTCAAGCTGCCGAGTCTGCGGTTGACCATGTGGTAGTCCAGCACGTAATCATTATGTCATCTGCTAGTTCCTGATTCGAATAAAGTGATTTGAGTGATATTTAGTAATAGGGCATTGTTAACTAATTAGTAATATAGATTAATAGCTCATTTTAATCTTGTGTCCCTATCGTTTCATTTGTTGCCTAGTCTGTAAATCTTTTTCTGTTTCTATTTTTTTTTTTTTTTTGAGAAGTTTTTGCTGTAGGGTGCGTGCGTTCACCAGGAAGAGAGAGACAGACAGAAAATGAGAAATTACCCCCCAGGGGGTATGGCCATGGCACAATCCCTTCTCCTCCATTCTCCTCTCGGGATCTTGGGCATGCACGCACATGCGCCTGGCATGAGTTTAAGCCACCGGGTCCAGGACTTGAACCGCCGTTGACTATGTGGGAGTCCAGTGACATAGCTATTATGCCAACTGCTGGTCCTGCATAGTCTAAATTATGTGAGAACTGTTAAGGCATTCTTTTATTTATTTGCAAACTTCTTAATTAGGTAAATACTGTGCCAGAGTTCAGTTTGCATATATAATTTGCTTTAGCTGAAGTATAAGTGACATCATGTAGAAGCTTGGGAGTTCTGCATTGGAAGGAGAGTCTAGAGTCATGAAGCTTTTGGAGCGCAGGGGGACATGGAAAAGAGTTGGTAAATTGAGGCAGGCTTGAGTTTATAATCAAAGCAAGCATCATCTTCCCATTTAGCTTTCCCTGTGTATTTTTTTACATTATTAGCTTTGCTAAACGCTGTTCTACCACTGCCTCCTTCTACCACTGCCTCCTTCAAACTCATAAGTACCAAAAATAAGGCCCGTATTTGAAGAGAAAGTGGCAGAGACTGTGTTGTGGTAGTGAATAAAATCCTCTGATCATACCCTCAGCCTTGGGGCTCAGTTTGGTGGCAGAGATTGAGTGTAAACAGTTTCAATAAAAAATACATCAATTAATGATTATCAGTCTCTCTCCAGTTAATAGTTAGTGAGGCTGAGATACAATCTAGTGTTTTATTTTTGACTCTTGTCTGCAATGTACTGCTTATTTTCTGTATACCATGGGGACCTAGTCCTAGATAATAGACTGAGAAGAAACACACTAGAAAACACTCCATTGGTTTCTGTCCTTGTCTTGTTAATCTTGATCTTAAAATAAGAACAACTGGAAGCTTGTGTATCCATAAGCAGAATCTTTTAGATAGACCAGAAACATCTGTAGCACTTTCGTCATTCTCTGTCACTCCTTTGCATCACCTAGTCCTCTTATTATCCTTTCTCTTCTGCCCTTTACTCAGGCTCCTTTACTGACTTAAATCACATTCTCCAGGGTTCTACCCCAAGTCGAGTCAGTACCTTCTACAGGCCCTTAAGGAGTCATCTCACTTGTGCCACTCAAGTGACCCCAGTGAATTTGAATCTCTGGGTTAGGCCTTCTCTCCTGATTGCCAAAATGCCATGTCCCTTTGTTCTCTGGCACATATCTTAAACATGTCCCATGGTGTAAAATGACTTTTTTTCTTTTTAAAAAATAAAGAAAACTTTACCCGTTTTCTAAATACTGCTTGAATTCACGAGGTTAGGCTAACATGTAAATAAAGCATGAGACCTAACAAACAATGGATAGGCAGTCAGGTGGGAAAGGGCTAGCCATGGGCAAGTGGCTTCTGAGTTACATTTCTTTATCTTAGGAGGTCCTCAAGAATCCTCTTATATTTACCATTTCTTTCACTATCCCAAATATCTTCTCAAACTTGGTCATCACAGTAGCTGGTTTCATTTTTCAATCCTTATGATGAAATCTTTAATACTCTTGAAAAGATTCTTTTTTGGTAGGTCACAGTTTTATGTTCCATAAACCACTTAGAAAAACTCAGAGTAAGATTATTTCAGGGAAATTAGTTGGGCTCTAAGATCCTCGTTTTCTTTTAGTATCTCTTGAATTATGGCTCTGGAATGTTAACTGTGTATCACAGCTATGGGTGGCTTGGAAATTGAGATCCTTGTACTCATCCCTGACCACTCTCGTTTCTACATGAAGCTCCTCAAGCTCCTGAATCCCTTTATCTCTTTTGTTACTTGTTTCACCTTATCCACTGCACTTGG